TAATGGTAGGAATGTTTGCTTTGCATGAATGCTTTTGGAATGTTGTATGTTATGTCGTGTTGGTCGCGTTGGACGGTGAGGAAAGCGTTGGAGACCAAGAACTCTTGACGACCAACAGGACTAGCACGAGTTTGTGAACCAAGGCAAGTATAACATGGGCCTTCCTTGATGTCCTATTTCACTCTAATCAATTATTCATTTGCATGTGTCTAATTTTGATACCCGTAAGGACATCCTAGTGATTGTTATCCTGTTCCTTGTCTCCTATGGGTTAAATGCATATGGGTAGATTGCTAGTGCTCTAACTGAACTGATGATATACTGTTGATGAATGATACTATGGAACAAAGTGAGTAACATGATTTATAACAACTGTTCCATAGGGCAAAAGTGCAAATGACCTTTGTTCATGTTGCTCCCGGCCCTCCATAAGGACTTATCTGTCGGCAAAAAGCTGGGGACTGGCAAGTGCAACTTGGGAGAGTCATATGGCTCGACTTTAGCTCAGTAATAGGACCTTTTCTAGCTAGTTAGAGGTTACCTTTTTTGGCGCAAATGGGGCTTGCCACGTTGGGTATAGGGCTGCCTCTGTTCCTATGTGTGTATAGCCATGATGGATATGTGCCATAGGAAAGGGGCTTCCTACATCTGCCGCCAAGGAAACCTAGCGGCCCTAACTTGTTAGGGAAACCTATGAAATGGCTTCATAGTGTACCTGCCCGCTCACCTTGGAAGTGACATGGGAGTAATTAACCGGGCATATGGGGATCACGAATCACGCGGTGAATGTGCACCACCTGCAGAGGGTAACAAACTGTTATAACAGGCCGTGCTTCACGATTCACGAAGCGGCCGGAAAACTCGCAGAATAACTGGATACTTGATGATGATCTTATAAAGTTGTTTAGTGATGATATATGGTACATATGACTCCGATATAAGTTCTTATGGGAATTAAATGGGAGCTTAAGCATAACTTGATAATACTTGAGAATAAAAAGCTTGACCTAATAAAAATGCTAACTGCACTAAACGAGTCTAACCTTTTGAGCTTCATAACCCCATGTTAGCTTGCTAAGTCACGGAATGTACTTACACTTGTTTATTTTCTTTACTTGGATAAAAAATCCGGATGGGTAACAGAAGACTACGGGTATGAGGATTTCTCGGAGGATTATTAGGCTTGTGGTCAACCAGTTGACCTTCCCCGTGATGATGCCACGAGAGTTTATTATCTTTTTATTATTCATTGTGATGTATAAGACTAAGTTTTATTATAACTCGATGTATGGGACACCGTGATGATACTATTGTGATTTGTCGACTTGTGTGTGATTGATTCACAGGCACACACGAAGTTTTGTGCATTCAATTTTATCCTTAAAATTGGGTGTGACACTCATGTATAGAAGACATCAACGCTTCTTTGCAACCAAGTCTTCCCGTCCGGTTCTGCGAGTGCGAGGAATAGGAGAAGCAGAGCCTCTGGCCCGAGTTGTCCACTATGTAAAAACTCAAATAGCGTAAGCGCCATCTAGTGGCGTGAGAATAAGCCGCGTCACGGGATATCAGTTCACAGACGCATGTAGTCAAGACGTCTCTGCGTTCATCTGTTCGGGTGAAGGGCGGCCATCAGGTTTTTGAGGAGCGACTACGCTGACTGCTCGATCGATCCTCGACTTCCTCTACTTCCTGGTGGAGGGCTCGCTGGTGATCGGCATTGTAACTTCTCTGCACTGCACCGAGTGGGACGACTACAACAACAGGGCGATGTCGACTAACATAACCGGCTCGGTGCCACGGTATGTTGCATATCATCCTCTTTTCAACTATTAAAATCATGGTAATTAGTATCGTCTACATGTTGGCTACTCTTAGATCTTCCTAGATTAAAATAATACTAAAATTGCCTAAATATCTAACACTTACGATTTAATTACGAACTAATTAGACCTAGAGCCACAAGGCGGAGGGCCGCTAGACAATATACATCATGTTTGGGCGAGGATAAATGATTATTATATTCCTAGTTATTAGCTCCTATACGCGTAAGAAAATGCCCTATGGCCAGGCCCTCCACGTGTCCCTCCGCCCAGTAGGAGTCCAGCAATGTGCGGTTCCGCTTCCGCGTTCCGTTCACCGTCCAATGGTACGGCCTACCGCTCATCCGTTCACGAATTCGTGCCAGTCGTTTGTTCGCTTTCCTCGCATTCGTCTCAGTCTCCTTTTCTCCTCTCCTCGAGTTTGTCCCCATCCTTGTGAGCTCCATCGCCTCCTCCGTTGCTGGCCTCGCTAAGAACACCGCCGTCTATGACCTCCACCGCCCCGTGGGCTCCATCGGCCTGACGACCTCGCGTGCCCTGCCCGACGGGGCTCGCCCTGCTCCAGGCCGCCCCCAAGGCCGGCTCCCGTGAGTGCCTATGCCGTCGGTCAGCTGACACCCCTTCCGATCCCCCTCCTCTGCTACTACCCGCATGCTAGCTGTGCTTCAACTTTGTGCTGTGAGATGAATTGGTGATTAAATTTGAGATGGATTTGAGAAATTTCGTCCATGCCCAGGTCTACGAGTCTGGACAGTGGAAGCGACGGCCAGGAGTTGGTGCTGTGAGCCACATCAGCTGCCTCTCTCCTCCTCCCTCTCCTGGCCATGGGGGCGACGGTCTCCTCCTCTGTACCGATCTGCCACATGCTTCGACCAAGGTAGAGCTGCCCTAGCTGAATCGTCGTCTCCCCGCCCTGATTGGAGCGCCCCACACCCCGACTCTTTGATTGATGCGCAGGGCCTCTGCACTGCTTCCCTCTCGTGGTAGCGGCATGGAGACAAGGTGCCGTGTGGCCGGGTGCCACCTCAGCCTGCAGCTGTTGTAGAGCTGACCGGTGCGCTGCTCCGGCCCCCTTCCTCTTTCAAGGAGCAGACCTTTCTGCTGCCGAAACGACTGCCGTGTGGTGTGCCTGTGCTGCATCATTGGTGCGTTGTGTGCCTGTGTTTGATCGTTGGTGTGCTCTATCCCACTCTTTCTCTCTCTTTTCCTCCTCCGAGCATCACTTTTGTCCATGGGCTTCGCAATGGCCGACTGACTTTTTTTGGCAACGATTGTCCGGCACAGCCTTTTTTCCATTGTGTTCTACCTCTGCTTAGTCTTTGAGAAAACTTAGATATGCTAATTTGGGCTGCAACCACGTACTGTTATTCTGATGCACACATTTGTCTTAGAAATTATATTGCTATGCTACCTTTTATTCAAAGTCCCATACATATGTGTGCAGGTGATGAAAATCTTGCTTTTGTATGGCCTGTGATGAAAATGGCATCTCATGTAACTTTGGGAATATAGTCTGATCATCTTGAATGGCCCACATCAGGTTCATGGGTATATATGCTGGTCTGCTTAGTTATCATGTCATATCCCCTCACTGACTTTTGTCAGATGCAGTTTTCCCTCGAGGCTGGAACTACTCCCCTCCCCTCCACTCCCCTCAAGGTTTGATTTTTTTTTGGTAAATGATGGTGTTTTAAATTGCATGATGTGGTTACCTGACTATAGGAGATCAGATGATGCAATTGTGTTTTTTTCTGAGGCTACCTCTTACTTCCCTTCTTTCTCAGTTTTAAATTTTTTCAGTGTCCTAGCTACTAATTGATAAGGAAACAGAAAGAACACTATTGATATGTTCCCCTCTCTCTCTATGCTTGTTTTAGTCTTTTTAAGGTTGATCTTTGTTGCCAAATATGGAATCTTTGTTGCTGCACTGGTAAGCAAAAAATTTTTGTCCATTCATTTCCTCTTCCTTGCAGTGGCATTCCTTACTGGACAATTTTTCTTGATAGCCTGAAACAGTTTAGATATTGTGTATTTATATTGGCCTACAAATTATGCCACCTGCTCACTGGTTACCTTGCATGAGATTTCTCCCTTCCTGCTATAATATCTATTCTGATATTTGTTTATAACAGATGATTGGCCAAAAATCATATGGATACCTTATAATATGAAGAGTTTGCAATGTCAATACACTGCTATGTAGGTTAAGTGTGGATAGTCACCTGTAATGAACAAAGATCAGTTGCACCTCTAAATTGCATGTTCTCACTGGCCAGGGTAACTACATACATTTAGTGTTCTGCCTTGGTGGTTACATTTTTCGGAAACAATTCATGCTAAAAGGTCAGTAGCTGATATCTATGTTTTTATTCGGTATCCTTCTCTAATTATTTGCATATTGACATCCAGCTTCTGTTTCAATGTTTCTTTTCCTTTTGAATATGCTGCTGCATCTTGCTATATAGGATTACATGATTGGTGATGTGCCTTTAGTCTCATTTATTCTTTAACAAACGGATAGTAGAAGTATAATGCCCGAGAGATTCATATTTACACATCTCAGAATTTATTGATCTTTCTCCTTGGATTGATATTGCAAAGACCAGAGCTATGAAGGCAACAGCTGCTACATGCAGCAAGTATCTTCACTATTACAATGTTATCCAAAATGGAAAGGCAACCTATGCCTGCCCTCGGATGTCATGGAATCTGATGGCCATGGAATCGGTACCGTCTAATATTTGTTCTATATTTCTTTGTTGTATGGATATTTGCTGAATGGAACAATTATTTAGTATTTACTGAAATCAGTTTGATCTCTACCTTATGGTATATCTGTAAGCTATTGTTAGTTGTTTGATTTTTGCAGCTTGATGGTGATAGACCTGACTCAAGTTGCAGGCGGGGCGGGTTGTTAACGTAACCCACCCGCTCGTCCCGCAAAACTAGGCTTCGTGGCTGCTGTGGACCAGCTGCAATTTTTTCGTGGGCCGAAGACTTCCAGACCTCCAAGCCCGTTGGGCGAGCGAGAAGCCTTGCAACAACCCGCAAGACCCGCGACACCCTCTTCTGCTCTCCCTTCCATCGCCGGGCCACCGCCACCGCCGGGCCAGATCTGAGGTTGCCTTCCGCCTCCCGGACGACCTGGGCCTCGGCGGCGGCGGCAAGCGACGCCCGATGGCGGCGCTTTTCGACGAGATCGGCTCCGAGGACGACCTCTTCTCCACCTTCATGGACATCAAGAAGATCTCATCCTCCGGGCCCTCCAACCGCGACCGCGACCGCACCGCCGAGACCTCGTCTCCGCCGTGCCCCAAGCACCGCCACGGCAGCTCCGTCGACGGCTCAGGCCTCTTCTTCTCGCCCGGCATCGGCGGCGGCGCGGGGAAGGATGCCGCGGCATCGCTGGCCGAGGTCATGGAGGCCAAGAAGGCCATGACTCCCGAGCAGCTGGCCGAGCTCGCGGCCATCGATCCCAAGCGCGCCAAGAGGTACTGCATCCTCGATCGCGGCAATCCATCCATTTCTTTAGTTACCATTACCAAGCGGCAATAAGTCTAGTCTGTAAGGTTTCTGTGAATGCTACAAATCCATCCTGATTTTCTCCAAACAGATCCACACATGGGTAATGGAAAAATAATTACATAGAGTTGTGTGGAACTTCAATTGTTATTACCTTTCTTCTTAGAGAAGAATCTGGTGACACGAGTTCGTGAGCTCGCTGTTCTCTGGCCTTATTCCTCTTTCTAATGTTATTGTTGGTCTTGTGTAGCAGAAACCATCTAAATAAAGGTATTACAAAAAAAGGAGGAGCCAGCGTATATCTAGAAATGATCACATTGTATCAGTACACATCATTAATTTATAGGTAATTCAATAATCATCAATTTTGCAACATTCACAACATTTGGAAACTCCCTTAAAAAGAGAAGGGCTAGTGATTTCTGTCAGGCCAAATATGCATAAATGGAGTGACTAGAGTAATGACCACGATATGTACTAAACGGCATATCAAGCCCAGCCATACCTGAAGCAAAGGATATAACTGTGCCGCAAATGAGATTAGTCCACTAGGTGTCACTGTCATTTGTCTTCATGATAAATTTTAATACATATTGTTAGCATTACATATCAATGATATGTGGGGCAGAATTATTATAATTCTTACTTCAACAAGTTTCCAAGAATGATGACACCAAAGAGATTGAGTCCTCCCAAACCAGCAACCATTGCCTTCTCTGATGCATTCGCTTTACTGCAAAATCAACAGGTAGGTGTATGGAAGGGCATAGAATAGATTAAAATAGCAAATTTAGAGCGGATGAAAAAATACCACTTAATGAATCAACGATATAACAACGCCTAATCTCTAGATCCTCATGCATTACGCTCCTGATGTAACGTATTTACAATATAATATTTAAAATCCACATACACTAATTGTATTAGAAATCTAAAAAAAATATCATGGGAGTTTCACACTTCTTTATTTGGTAAAATTGCAGCCTGGGTTAGTTCAACTTCACTAAGGATGACAATGATATATACTGACCGGAATTTCCACGGTTTCTCCTCTAAGAACTTTTCAATTCCACTGAACATTGCTGACCATTTGGTACCCACATATTCCCTGCTCCTACCACTTTTGATGAAGCAGATACGTTGCAGCGATGGGAATCGGTACAGGATATTGCCCTATAAGAAAAACAAAACCATTAAGTTACTCAGAAAAATGCCATCTTTAGTATGTAGCTGGCACAGGCAGAGCTATCTGTCAGCTAAGGTGGGCAACATTTAACTCGCTGTGTACTACTGATGTGTGATGGTTGCACCCCATATGCTTGTATTCCCCTTCTTCCTCCTCAACCTCAAATGAAGGAACTAGTGCATGTAATGTAAGGGTGTTTTTGCTTTGGCTGATGCCTCCATGGCATCTGAAACTACCACTGCATGTTCCTTTATCATTTCCAGGACATGGCATTTCCCAGAACCTTTTTTCTTACATCTACTCACACATTGCATGTTCCTTTATCATTTTTCTTCGTTGGAAACTTGCAATAAATCTCAAGGATTAGATACTTAGGCATGCAAGTCAATTGAGATCTTCTAGTATTTTATAGTAGAGAACCTGACATGATTGGGGTTGTCTGTTTATTCCAATTTTTTGATGCTACCTAATAGAGAAAAAAAAACAGTAATGCCCCCCCCCTGGCCCTTGGCCAGCAGCATTAGCTAAGGTGGGTTGAAAGTGTAGGCCATATTTGACAATGGTAGTCCTCAGGTACAGGTCTGAACTGCTAGAAGAGAAGAAGGTTGGACCTGATCATCAATTTCTGGATGTCCTGGAATCGTAAAAGAACGGAAGAACAAATGATTCATCGTCCTGCAGTTCAAGAAATTATATTGAAAAATGAATACGATAAGCCTCCCTCAGTTTATTATTCAAAGGAAGAGTAAATTGCTTTCCCAGGCGCAGGGAGTAGAGAACTTAATCTCTTAACAAAACAAGCAATACTTAGGGAAAGAGTTCCCATGCCTTGGACTCTTCTGATGGAGGTGGCACATCAAGATACGGTGCCAGTTCTTCAGCTGTAACAACTCCACCATTTGATGAAATGTACTGCCCAATCTGTGAATTCAAATAGGAATTAGAAATCTGTAATAGCAAAAATGAATATATAATAATGTGGGATCCTCACTTTGAAAGCTATTTTCTAATTTTACATGTGTTAAGTGTTAGTAAGATAATGTGATCAAAGACTTTTTATTGATTTGTGCAGTGGTTGTCAGGATCAGATTTTTCTTGCATGCAAAGTACAAATGGCACCTTGCAAACATTTGTTAGTCTTTTGCTGATCAAAACTGCTACGAAATTTGATTGATCAGTCCTCTACAGTTCTCTCTTGATCAGTCCATTTGGTTGTCCTCTAGCTTATCATGTTATTGTATTCTATCTAGATGTGCTGGTGTGGACATGGCAACCTGCCATCTGAGCTTGCGCCAGAAGAATTTAGTGGTCAAGTAGCAGATCAACAAAGCAGTAAGCATACAACTTCAAGGAGTGTGAACGTGAAGAAGTCATTGCTAGTGAAACGGATGTCATCTGCTGTTAATGCTCCAAAGCCTCCAACAGAGAAGCGGAGGAAGTCATCTGCTTCGAATGTGCAATTTGTGAGGTCCCCGCTACTGAATAGGATCGTAGCATCGCCAAGGATGCGCCACTCCAGAGCCAAACACCAGAGGTCACCATGTGCAGGATTGTCATCTTCAACCTTACCTGATGATACAAGAACGACTACTTCTCCTAATCTTGGCAAAGATTCAGCATCAAGGAGCGTGGATAGGATCAAGTCGTTGCTGTCAAAACGGAAGTCATCTGTTGTTAATGCTTCAAATCATTCAGAAGGAATGCAGAGGAAGTCATCTGCTTCACGTGTGCATTATGTGAGATCTCCGGTACTTAATAGAATGCTACAGTCACCAAGGATGAGCCAGTCTCCGGTACTATCTGCAAGATCATCATCTTCGTCTTCATCTGATGATACAAGAATGGTTATTTCTCCTGATCTTGGCCCAGGTTAGATCTGACTTCCTGCATATTGAAGCAACCAGTTTATGTCTCAAATTTTTCATTAGCATCTTTAATTTCTTTATTAAGAGTGTGTATATATAATTATACGTGTGCCATTGGGCCTTGTTCACTAAACCCTAATAGAACAAGCCTGCGAATTGCGCCTGCTGCCTCTTTTGATGGATATAATTCGGCTCTTTGTTATTTTTGTTGTTGCAGCTGACTTGCCACTGTTTTTTCTTTCACAAAATGAAATAGCCTTCAACTTTGCACAAATTCTGTTCATCCGCATCTGGATCTCTCCTCCGTCCCTTACATATGAATGGCATGGTGCATCATCTCATCCATAAAGTGATATAGCTATTCCTTAATTTTTCTGCTAATTCATGGACAATATAAGCCATTGTATATCATTGCCCCTTGTTATTTCACACAAGAAATATTGTTGAGCATACTATAATATTTCGCTAGCTTGTAGTGAATTGAATGTCTTCAAGATTTTGTATCTTTGGAAGCCCTGGAATATTTTGCAGCAGAGTTAGAATTCTCCAGTTTACAAACTGGACCTCATTGAAACCCTAAGGCCAATGCTCTGTACCATCCCCAACCCAACCTGAGTTTAAGTCCTAAGAGGTTAAGACCAAGTCTGGTGCTTGTCTCCTTCTAGTGTAACTTTTTCCATTGTTCTTTGCATCTATGAATCGTTTGAGTTGGGGGCAACCGATTCATTGGTACGATAATTCATTATTACTTAGTCCTGTTTCTACTATCCACGGTCCTTTAGATGAATTTTCTTGCTGCATGAGATGCCTTTAATTCTTGACTATGTATACTTTAGTAAATGCTTGTACTAATCAATATTTACATACTTATTGTATAGATGCATCAAGACCAATTAAGAGGCGTAAACTTAGATCGATGTGTGGAAAGAATTTGAGCCTATTTATGAGGGGAATCTAGTAGTACAAGCTAAATGTATTCATTGTTTGGAGCTCTTGTCCGCTACTCGAGATAATGGTAGAAGTGCTTGTCGAGGCATTTGAAAGTGCAAAAGAAAAGGACTAGAATGAACCAGTTGGTTGAAAGCATGAACACAGGACTATCCCACGATTCACTAGCTCAAGAATTGGAAGTTTGACCAAGAGGTCTCACGTAAAGCCATGGTCAACTTTATCGTATTGCAGGAGCTGCCCTTTAGTTTAGTTGACCATGCACCGCTTTGAGAAATTTATTGCTACCTTAAATCCTTGGTTTACCATAGTGTCTAGAACTACGATTCTTTGAGGATATTATGAGCTCATATGAGGATCGAAGGTTAGCCCTTCGGGAAACTATCAAAAATTCAAATTCAAGGGTCTGTCTAACTGCTGATCTGTGGACTTCAAATCAGAACCTAGGTTACTTGTGCATTACTTGCCACTTCATTGATAATGTTGGATGTTGCGTAAGAGAATAATAGGTTTTGGTCTTGTAGCTTCGCCCCATGATGGTTTTACTTTGTTTAATACATTGTTGAAGTGTTTGCAAGAATAGAAGTTAGAGCACAAGGTATTTAGCATCACATTAGATAATGCAAAGAACAACAACAACATGGTTGGTTCCTTAAGGAAAAATCTTTCAGAAAGACACCTTATGCTTGGAAATGGTGATCTGCTACATATGCGTTGTGTAGCGCATGTGTTGAAACTTATTGTCAAGGAGGGATTTAAGGTGATAGATGGTGCTACTGACCGCATTCGAGATAGTGTCAAGTACATTAGAAGCTCACAAGCCCGTAAACAACGTTTCGAGGAAATCATTGTACAATTAGGTATATCATGTGAGAAGAGACCGTCTCTTGATGTTCCAACTCGGTGGAACTCAACTTATTTAATGCTGAAGTTGCAATAGAGTATAGGGCAGTCTTTGATGTTATGGAGTCACAAGATCCTAATTGCATGGACAAGCCTTCTAATACAGATTGGAACATGGCAGACCTACTTTG